TAAATTGCCTTTTCCCCTCTCTGTTTTCTCTACTAATCAATTAAATGCTTTTTTTCCAATAATGAAAATGTAATTGAAGGTGTACTATTTCTCTTGGTTCTTTGATGGTGCTAGGTGATGTCATTGCTGGGTGGCTCCCCTGAGGCAAACGGCAGCTCTAAGAGTAATGAGGGAAGAGGAATGATTCAAGGTGGCATGCTTAGAATTGAGAAGGGAGAAATGAGTTTGCTGCCCAGTGAAACAGTGAATCAGCAAGTGTCTTATTCTCCACTTATTAAACTACTTCACAGCTGCTTAATTTTCTCCCTGTGAGACTGCTTAGATGTTTGGACCCAGAGTCGGGATACATGCTATAGCTTCTTGGTGTATGTATAATAGATTACTTTAAATAATAATAAATAAGACTTGTTTTGGATATAATAAAAAAATTTAGAAAACTCAGAAAAGCTTCCAAATGAAGGTTCCTAAAACCCTGCTACCTAGAAAGAACTACATTTTAATTTATTTCTTTCTAGTTTTTTTTACTTTTATATTTTGGTAATCAAAAGAGTACATGCTTGAGGCCAGAGAAGGCATGGTGTTTAAGGTGCTGGACTCCCACAGACCAACCACAGTTCGAGTCCCAGACCTGGTGGCTTGCTTTCTCACATTCCCTTTCTCTCTGTCTCTTTCTGGTCAAATTAAAAAATAATAATAACAAATAAACTTAATTTTTTTTTTTTTGGTGGGGAGAAGTTTTTGTTAAAGGGCATGTGCACTCACCAGAAAGACAGAAAGAGACAGAAAGCGAGAAATCACCCCCCAGTGGGATGGTCATGCTGCAATCCCTTCTCCTCCATTCTCTTCTTGGGGTCTTGGGCACGCACGCACACGTGCCTGGCGTGACTTTAAGCCACCAGGTCTGGGACTCAAACTGCAGTTGACTACATGGGAGTTACGCCAACTGTTGGTCCCTTAAATAAATAATTCTTTACAAAAAAAAAAAAAAAATGCATGCTCATGGTTGAACATTTGGAAAGTATAGGGAATTACGAAGTAGCTAAGAAAAACTTCTATAACATAGGCTCAACCATGTTAATGTATGCAGTGTTGATACATATTTATGTTTTTTAAATTTTTATAAAATGCATTTCAAAATATCATTGGATATATATAATTTTGTGTCTTTTTTTTTTTTTTTAAGTTTGCTATAGGGTGCTTGCATGAGGGGGTTGGGGTGAGAAATCACACACACACACACACTCACACACCCAGGGAGGATGGCCACAATGCAATCCTTTCTCCTTTATTCTCCCCTTGGGATTTTGGGTATGCACGCACTTGGGCACAGACACGCACGCTCCCAGTGTGATTTTTCAAGTCAAAGGGTCCAGGACATAAATCACACACTTGGCCGTGTGGGATCCGCTGCTGCCTTAATCTCCACACCACCTGCTGGCCCTTTATCCCCTTTTCTGACTTAATATTAAGTGTAGTCTCATTTCCAAGTCATTTTTTGGTTTGGTTTGGTTTTGTTTTTCTAGTTTTTTGTTGTCGTTTTGTTTTGTTTTGTTTTTGCCATAGGGCACTTGTGCTTGCCAGAGACAGAGAGAAACAGTGAGATGGAAAGTGAGAAATCCATGTGCAAGTCCAGCACCATAACCACTACGCCATCTGCTGGCCCCCCACTCCACGTCTGTCCTTTTCTCCTGAGAGATTTTGGCTATAGGGCATGAGCGCTTGCCGAGAGACAGAGACAGAAAGTGAGAAATCAACCCCTGAGGGAGGATGGCCATATTGCAGTCCCCTCTCCTCCATTCTCCCCTAGGGATTTTGGGCACACACACACACACACATATGCCCCATGTGAGTTTCAAGGCTGCCGGACTGGGGACTTGAACTGTGATTGGCCACATGGGAGTCAGCGCCTTAACCACTACACCACCTGCTGAGCTCCCCCCATGTTAAAACTCATAAAAATGACTGTCTCTTATTTTATCATATGACTATACTGTGACTTAATTATTCCATTAGTTTTGGAAATCAGATTTCTTATGTGTTCAGGGTACTGAATATTTTTGTGCATAAATTTGATCTATACTTTCAGTTAGTTCCTTAGCTCCATTCTTGGAATGAGTGTATTTATGACTTTGGCATATCTTATCAAATTATCTTCCACTTCCACCAGCGGAGTAATCAATAAATATCAATGAAGAGTGAAGAGTTCCTGTCTACCAGGATGTATCATTTTCATAGAAGAAGCTGATAATGGATGGAGTTCTTGCACCTAGGATAATCTCGGCACAGCAAAGGGCTGAGTAATTTCATGCTGGCTGCTTAATTGCAGTTGCTCTTTAGAAAACTGATTTGTAGAGACCAGCAGGTGGCGTGGTGACTAAGGCACTGGACTTCCACATGGGTGACCATGGTTCGAGTCCTGTGCCTGGCAGCTTGCGTTCTTACTTTCTCTCTGTCTCTGGTAAGCACATGTGCCCTATGTCAAATTTTAAAAATAATGATAATAAATAAAATTAAATAAATAATTATTTTTTTAAAAAGAGCAACTGATTGATAGAACCCAACTGTGAAGATTGGTTTTTGTTTGTTTTTTTCAAGTTTCAGATATTTATTAACCAGTGTAAATCTGAACACATCAAAGTGATTTCATGGATTTAGAGGAGAAATATTTCCTGGTTAAGTGGAAAATTTTGCAGATGGCTTCGGGAAGACCATTACGAGCAGCTTTATAAGTGAAACATTTCATTTAGAATTCTGGGCCTTCTTTCTTCAGTTCACTGTAATCCACATTCATTACAGTTTGTTCCAGGGTTCAGGGTTATTCTTTCTTTCCCAAGAGACATCAGGAGTGAACATTGCCAAACCCGTGAGATACCGTGCTGCTCCGGTACCTCCAACTCCAATAAATATAAACAGGGCAATCAAACTCGGATGCTTCTTGGCCTGGCTCAGGATCCGGCGGAGCATGTTTATGGTGGAGGACTCTGGTCTGAAAGCAGAGAACAAATCTGCTAGGCCAGAGACTTAAAAACTCTTCTCACAGAGGCTGGAGATTGGTTTTTATACTACAGTTTAAATGTGTGTGTCTGCCTCTTCAGAAGGAACAACTTTAAATCTTTTGCAGATTACTTGGTGAATGGCATTGTTACAAAATAAGAATTCAGAGAAATAAATAACCTAAAAGTTCCTTCCATAAAGGGGTGTTTGAAGAGAGCTGGGATTCAACCTCCCGCTGCACTCTTCATGCTCACACCCCACCCGACTCCCTGCCTTCAAGGCTGCCCAGAAACTGGCCCCATACCCCACTGCTTCCCTTTACATACGCCACTTCCTCCCAGGAGAACTTGGAGTGGCTGCCAACCCACCTCCACTTCCACTCCATGCTGTCTAGTTCTCATCAGGCCCTGTCACATGGCAGCCTTCATTCACAGTCGCTCCCCTGGAGATCTCGTCTCCCCTTTTCATTTCCTTTTTTTTTTTTTTTTTTTTGGCTTAACTACTGTGTTATAGGGCTGGTCCTGCTTTTTGTTTTCTAAGCTTATAGGTGACTTTATTCTCATTAGGGGAAACTAAAAAAAACCTTATAGAAAAAGCTAAAGTCCTTTTTATTACCACCCCTAGTCTCAGTTCCCTTTCCATCTGTCACTAGAGTGTTCATTCCTCCAGCAGCCTCTGTCACATCACATGCGTGATGAATGCTGGCCACCCAAAACTCATGTCCTTCCACTTCACCCTGGGGGTGATTTCTCATTTTCCTGGCTCCTTCTCTCCCTCCCCTGCATCCTAGTGAGCAGACATACCCTACAGCAAATAACTGGGGGTGGGGGGATAAATATTTATGCATCATTACAAAAACTACATCCAAGGCTCACACCGTAGCCTGCATATAAGAAACAATAACATCTCCTAGTAATACAAATGTTGACATTTCCTGGAGTATTTTGCCATACATGTTTACTAAACCATTTCAGAATGGCCAGGATGGGGAAGGAGAAGTAATAAGCAGGACTGATTGTGATAACTGAGTTTAGAGATAGGGAACAAGAAAGACTGTGTCATTCTGGAGACAGCACTGTTTTTTTTTTTTGAGAGGTTTTTGCTATAGGGCACGTGCACTCTCCAGACAGACAGACATAGAGACAGAAAGCGAGAAATCACCCCCTAGGGAGGATGGTCATGCCACAGTCCCTTCTCCTCCATTCTCCTCTTGGGATCTTGGGGCACGCACGCACATGCGCCCAGCGTGAGTTCTAAGCCACCGGGTCTGGGATGCGAACCGCGGTCGACTACGTGGGAGTCCAGCGACATAACCATTACGCTAACTGCTGGTTCCCCAGCACATTTAACTGATGAAAAAAAGACTTAAGGAAAAGGTAGAAGTTGGTTATTATTGAGTTGTCAGAAAAGTCATGATGCATTTTTGCATAGAAAAACATGCCATGATTTCCGACAACCCAATATCAAATAATGGTCTTATCTTAAACCTTTACATTTAAATTTCTAAATAGACGCCAGTTAAGACTTCATCTTTCATGGGACCAGCAGATGGTGTAGTTATGTCATTGGACTCCCATGTAGTTGACCGTGGTTCACGTCCTGGACCTGGTGGTTTAAAACTCATGCTGGGCGCATGTGCGTGCATACCCAAAATCCTGAGAGGAGAATGGAGAAGGGATTGTGGGGTAGTCATTCCCCCTGGGGAGTGATTTCTCACTTTCTGTCTCTCTGGTGAGCACATGTACCCTATAACAAAAACCTCTCAAAAAAATAAATAAATAAAAAAGAAAAAGACTTCATCATTCATTAGGAGGGAGAGGCAGTCCAGGACAGAGCCAATATGGTTGGTGTAGAAGCCTTGAGAATACAGGGATCATGTTGAAGAAGTGCATGGCATTGGTGGGGATATCCCCAATGAGAAAGGGCTGGGGGACATCCCCCGGGCTGTACCCCTTGACCTCACGGTCTCATTGTGTCTTCATACTCTGGAATGCTGGGGCTGATGAGGTAACCAGGGAACAGGCTTGAAAGAGATGAGAGTTGACTGAGCAGATCGGAGGTGGCAGCGTCACACTGTCCAGGGTCCTGATCACTGAATTGGTTGTGTCGCCAGGGTCTCTGCACGCTTGTCGCCGGATGGAGCCGCATTCTAGCTGTTCTCAAACAAAGTCACTAAGCATGTGTGAAAGATTTTCCAAGGCAGTGAGTGCCTCCTTTCTTTTTATTATTCATTCTACTAAGAACATTGAACAGAGGGTCCAGTGCATGAGGACCACTGATACTTTGGTTGTTACACAATTTGGAGGCATATTATGGGAAAGGAGAGGCTGAGAGCTCACTATAAAAGTGAGCTTTTGGGGGGCCAGCAGGTGGCATAGTGGTTAAGGTGCTGGACTCCCACATGGCCAACCATGGTTCAAGTCCCAGACCTCTTCTCTCACTTTCCTCTCTTTCTCTGCCTCTCTGTAGTCAAATTAAAAAATAATAATAAATAAAATTAACTAATTTTAAAGAATTATTTTATTTAACTTTTATTTATCCATTTGTTTATTTATTTATTTTAATCCGACTAGAGAGTGAGAGAGAGAGAGAGAGAAAGTGAGAAATCAAGTCGCCAGGTCCAGGACTCAAACAGTAGTCAGCCACGTGGGAGTCCACCACCCCCAACCACCACACCACCTGCCAACTCCTAAAAAACTATTTCTTTTAAAAAGGTGGGGTTTTTTTTCTTTTTGTGGGTACACGTGCAAGACAGAGAGGCAGAGAGGGATAGTAAGAAAGCACTCCCCCGGGGAGGATGGCCATGCTGCAGTCCCTTCTCTTCCAATCTTCTCAGGATTTGGGGCACGTATGTACAAGGACCCAGCGTGATTTTTAAGCCTCTAGGTCTGGGACTCAAACTGCACAGTCAGCCGAGGGGAGTCCAGCACCTTAACCTCCATACTACCAACTGACCCTCCCTCATCTTATCTTATTTTATTTATAGAGGTTATTGCCTTAGGATGTGTGCACTCACCAGAGAGAGGGGAAGTGAGAAATCACCCCCCAAGGGGGATGGCCACACCTTCATCTTCCTTTCTCCTCCTCTGGGGATCTTGGGCACATACCCAGCATGTTTTTTTGTTGTTGTTTTTTCTATAGGACACGTGTACTCACTAGAAAGACAGAGAAAGACAGAGAGACAGAAAGTGAGAAATCTTCTCCCAGGGATGGCCATGCTGCAATCCCTTCTCCTCCATTCTCCTCTTGGGATCTTGGGCACGCACGCACATGTGCCCAGTGTTGAGTTCAAGCCACCGAGTCCAGGACTCAAACCGCGGTCGACTACATGGGAGTTCAGCGACATAGCCATTACGCTAACCGCTGGTCCCCACCCAGCATGATTTTGAAGGCATCAGGTCTTAGATTCAAACCATAGTCAGCCATGTGGGAGTCCATTGACATAATGGACTCTGCTGGCCCCTCCTTCATCTTTTAAAAACGTTCTCTGTTTGGCCAGCCAGTGGCATAGTGGTTAAGGCACCTGGATCCCATGTGACTGACTGCCTGCTTGAGTCCTGGACCTGGCAGCTTGAAAAATACACAGGGTACCTGTGCATGTGTACCAAAAATCTTGAGAGGACAATGGAGGAGAAGGCATTGCAGCATGGCCATCCCCCCTGCAGGGCTATTTCTTAATTTCCCTTGCTCTGGTGAGCACACGTGCCTTACGGCAAAAACCTAAAAAAAAAAAAAAAAATTTTTCTGTTACCCCATCTGGTATATTACCTTCTTTATCATCCTCTCCTGACCTTCTTTAATGCCTCACAATCCACCTTGTACCCCCAGTCAGGCTTGGGGAGGTCCTGCTATGCCGAGGACCAGAATATAGACTGGTGATCCCCTCTGTTCCCAGTAGCACAGCTGAAGCCACTCTGGAGTGTTTAAGTAGTTCTCTCTACTGAAGGTTTGAGTATGACAGAAGGGAAGGCTCCAGTGACCAGATTGATGCCCTGTTGGACACTCTTCAACTCAGGTTCCCCTGTAGTGTCGTTCCATATGGCAGGCACTGTCTTCTCTTTCCCCCTTTCATTCTGGCTTTCTTTTTCTCAAGAAACAAAACAATATTGAAGCCTCTTTGAGTTCCCATTCAGAATCATCCACTCCCAGGACCAGCAAATGGCGTAATGGTTATGTTGCTGGACTCCACATAGCTGACCACGGCTCAGATCCCGAACCTGGTGACTTAAAACTCAAGTGGGGTGTGTGTGCTTGCATGCCCAAAATCCTAAGAGGAAAGTGGAGGAGAAGGGATTGCAGCATGGCCATCCCCCCATGGAGGGTGATTTCCCACTTTCTGTCTCTCTGATGAGCACACATACCTTATAGCAAAAATCTCTCTAAAAAAAATAATCTTCCTCTCTCAGAAGAAAACAAAGTTCTAAAGTTAGTATGCATTCCATCTCCTCCAAAGTCTTACCCTTTTAATTTCTGTATGAAGACATACACAGTCTATGGGGTTATGTGGCATATACGTCTGCATCTTGCTCTTGTATCCGTATTTTCAAGACTTCTGTGTGTTAATGCTTACTGTTCCAGTTCATTCATTTTCGTCTGTATTTCATTAAGTGAATAAATCCCAATTCATTTATAAGTTTCCCTATTGATGAATATTTGAGCTGTTCCTGATTTTTTTTGTGACATTTTAAACAAAGCTGCAGGCATCACCGTGTATATCTCTCTGCATGTGCTACCGTGTTCAAGAATTTCTTTATATTATACCTGTTGTGTAGGGACCTCTTAACTGTACTGGAAATACCGAGTTGTTCTCCAGGGTACTCGTTTAATTTACATGCCTGCCGACAGTGTATGTGAGCTCTCATTTCTCTGTGGACAGCGCTTGGCATGATCTGACTTTACGTCTTTGCCGTTCTGGTGTGTGTGCAATAGCATCTCCTTGACTTTAATTTGCACTTTCCTCTGTGCTTAGTGAAGTTACTGTCTTCATTTCTGTCACAGCATCCGAGTTTTTTCTTTCATACCCCCTATCACAAGCCATTACTGTGGGTTGGTTTGTGTGGTTATTGTCTGCTTCCCTATCTAGAACATAATCTCTGAGAGCAGGGGTCACATCTCTGCCTTATTGTTGGATCCCCAAAGCTCAGTCCAGGGTCTGGCATTAGGAATTCAGTAAGTGAATCTTTAGTGACTGAACCAGGGGTAGGGGGATAAGGTCCCTCAGTAAGTCTGACATTGCTATTAAAAAGATGTTTGTATAGTAAGAGTGGTTTATTTCTTTATCTTTCTCCTATCTGAATCCCATTCTTTATTTCATAGGCTGTTCACAGTATCTGGTTCTTTTTTTGTTTTTAATTTGCTAGAGGGCCCAAGTGCTCACCAGAGAGATGAGGGAAGGAGAATAAAAAAGAGGGAGTTGGTTTGTGTGGTTATTGTCTGCTTCCCTATCTAGAACATAATCTCTGAGAGCAGGGGTCACATCTCTGCCTTATTGTTGGATCCCCAAAGCTCAGTCCAGGGTCTGGCATTAGGAATTCAGTAAGTGAATCTTTAGTGACTGAACCAGGGGTAGGGGGATAAGGTCCCTCAGTAAGTCTGACATTGCTATTAAAAAGATGTTTGTATAGTAAGAGTGGTTTATTTCTTTATCTTTCTCCTATCTGAATCCCATTCTTTATTTCATAGGCTGTTCACAGTATCTGGTTCTTTTTTTGTTTTTAATTTGCTAGAGGGCCCAAGTGCTCACCAGAGAGATGAAGGAAGGAGAATAAAAAAGAGGGAGAGAAGGAGAGTGAGAAAGCACCCCCGGGGGGAAGTGGTTATGCTACAATCCCTTCTCCATTTGAGATTTTGGGGCATGCCCGTGCACCTGCTCTGCGTGTATTTCAAGCTGCTGTGTCCGTGTAGTCAGCAATGTGGTATCCAGCCATGTTAGCCACCAGGCCCCCAGCCAGCCCCACAGTACCTGATTCTGTCCTTTCTTTCTTACTTCCATTTTTCCAACTTTTGAATAAGCTTGAATAGGAGGTAGAATTACAGAGAATAACAGAAATACTGAGTCACATGTGGTTTGATTCATAGAGATACCTGTTCGCTCCACCTTGGGGCCTATGATTTGAGATACACTGATGTCCAGTTAGCCTCAGATTGTCTTCTGTGTCCCTCCTCAGAGAAGAAACCAGAGTTCTGGGCGAAGTTCATTATTACATAAGGGAAAAACTAAGTTGGAAGCCCTTTGCGTTTGTTGAGATTCTTACAAACAGCTAATGTAAGACTTCCTGTGATAGCTGCAGACTTCATCAGAAATTCAGTAGCCTAGGCATGGTGGTTTTTTTATTTTCAAGAAATATAAAAGTGAGGAGTACCAGACTAAATCTCTCTTAACTTTTCTGCAGGCCCTCTCTTTCCCACCTCACCACTCCTAGCAGTTCTGATTGTACCCTGTCCCAACTTGATTCAGTTCCTGAGCTCTGCTCTGACTACACCTCAGACTTGGCTCATTACTTTGGTTAGGATCCTTTGGGGTATAGACAACAAACCCATCCAAGATCACTTAAACTGGAGGCAGTCCAGGGATTTTTGAATTTGAGAGCGCATATACAGCTAAGACCAGGAATTAGAGGAAATGCCTACTGAAAACTTGCACATTTAGTTCTCTTTTTGAGAGAATCAGCCAAAGATGAACTTTCTTAGTCTCAATTGGAAATACCTAGAGAAGGCCGCTGACCCAGCACGGGCAGATGCCCACCTGACTCTAGTAAGCCGCTCCAGGAAGTTGTTCGACAAAGGCAGGCAGGAGCCACTCCTATGATGTGTAGATCACACAGAAGTGCAGCTTCCGGAAAAGAGAGGAGATTCTAGGGAGACACACCCGTAGGAGTCTACCGAAATGATCAGGAGCTGAACGTGTGTCCGACTGTGAGCCCGCTGACTTCTCACCCAGCCACTCCTTCACGTCTTTTCCTTAACTTTTCTTCCTCCAAGTCTGACCTGGCTCCTTACCCCACTTACTGATCTCTTTTCTATAAGCCAGTTGTGAATGCATTCTCTACAAATCTCTGACTTTCTGGGTTCACAAGTAAGCTTTAGGGATGGCAAGGTATGTTTTTCTCCCTATTTATTTACCTGGCAGGATTCAAAAGTAGAAATAGTATGTGTGGTTTAGCATCTCTGGTTTGCTCATACTTCACTGCCCTAGCTGGTGGGAAATGGCAGTGAAGCAGATGTCATGAAACTGGCAGCCTAGGGAGTTGGTTCTGCCTTCACTGAGACCTGACACTCTCTTGTTACAGGAGCATGACATAGAAACAACTCATGGTGTGGTCCACGTCACTGTAAGAGGCTTCCTGAGGGGAAACAAACCAGTTATACTGACGTATCATGACATTGGCCTCAACCGTATGTATTTTATTTTATACCTTCTCTTTTTTATCGTATTTATTAATCTTTGTATATTTTTAAAAGAACAATGAACAGCTCTTTTTAGAGTCCCTTCTCTGTTTTATCATTCTCTCCTTATTTGCTACATTCACTAATGGTGGGGTTAGTCCTGGGAAGTAGAGGAAAATATGTTTGGCGGGGATACTGTCATAATATCTCACTTTTGGGGCCAGCAGGTGGCATGGTGGTTAAGGCGCTGGAATTCCCACATGGCCAACCACGATTTAAGTCCCGGACTTGGCGGCTTGCTTTCTCTCTCTCCCTCTCCCTCTCTCTCTCTGTCTTTCTCTGGCAAAACTCATGTGAAAAATAATAAATAAATATAATACCTCACTTTTATGTCATATCTGCTAAAGGATTAGAGATTGTATGATGAACTGATAAGAAAGTAGAATTAGGGACCAGCAGTTAGTGTAATGGCTATGTCACTGGACTCCCATGTAGTCGACTGCGGTTTGTGTCCCGGACCTGGTGGCTTAAAACTCACGCCAGGCGTGTGTGCATGCATGCCCAAGATTCCAAGAGGAGAATGGAGGAAAAGGGATTGCAGCATGGCCATCCCCCCCCGGGGGGGGTGTAATTTCTTGCTTTCTGTCTCCCTGTCTCTCTCTGTCTGTCTGGCGAGCACACGCACCCTATGGCAAAAACCTCTCCAAAAAAAAAAAAAAGAAAGAAGAATTAAAATTTGTATTTTTCAGGTTGTACTTTGAGTTTTTCATATTTCAGCCTAGAAAACCCAGGGTTTGAACTTAACTTTGTTGTGAATTGACAGAAGGATTCTTGTTATAGCCTGTCATTAGTGACTTGGAGATCTTTCTAGATGGTAGTGTAAGATCTTAACTGTAGCCATAGTCTTGCAGAGTCTGTATCGGTGTGTGTTCTTTCATGTTGCATTTGAAGCTGCAGTGCAGTGCTAGAGCTGTCCTAGCCACCAAGCAGTGATACTGAAAGGTAGAAATTGAAGCAGCGAGGTCAGCAGGTGGCATGATGTTAGTTAAGGCACTGGACTCCCATGTGGCTGACGGTGGTTCAAGTCCCAGACCTGACAATTTGCTTTCTCACTTTCCTTTTCTCTCCCTGGTCAAATTACAGAATAATAATAACAAATAAATTTTAATGAATAAATAATTATTTTCAAAAAAAAGAAAAGAAATTGAAGCAGCAGGCTCAGCTGTGGTGGCACGGGTGGTAGGGGCACTCTGCACAGTACTTCAACAATATGAGAAGGCCTGAGGTTCAGATCCCAGGTCAGCCTGAACACACTGGGCCCACCCCACCCACAGCTGCACCTGTGATTCTGGCTGGCTGCAAGGCTAAGGGGCAGGATTATAGTGCGCCGGGGAGGAAAACGTGTCAAAGGTTCCTTTCCTTCCTCCCTATCTCCCCTGAAATATTAATGTTGGCCTCAACCATACGTATTTTATGTCTTCCCTTCTTATCATAATATTTCATCTTTTAAAAAATTTTATTTATTTATTTACTTGTGATTTTTTAAAAGAATTATTTTATTTAACTTATTTATTATCATTATTATTGTTGTTATTATTATTGTGATCAGACAGAGAGAGAGAGAGAGGAAAGTGAGAAAGCAAGCCACCAGGTCTAGGCCTCAGACCTCGGTCAGCCATGTGGGAGTTCAACACCCCTAACTACCATGCCACCTGCTGGCTCCCCTTGGAATTTTTCAAGCCACCAGTCCTGGGTCTTAAATCATAGTCAGACATGTATGAAACCAGGACCTTAGCCATCATGCTAGCCCCATCTTTGCATTCTAACAGAATATATTTTATAAGAAAGTGTTCTCAGATATATTGAGGGCATGCTTCCCCATCCCCCCCATGCAGTAGAGGGAGAAAAAGAGAGAGAGGGAGAAACTGAAGCAGCATTCCCTCCCTACACCTTAGCAGTTTTGCCAAGAGACAGGAGCCCTTGTGTTTAATATAAGCAGCTCAAGATATTCACTCCAGCCAAGCTCTTGGGGTATAGTCAATGTCTCTGTTAGAGGGGGGAATAAGGTACATGAAAAATGAGAGCATTTTGGGTATAAGATTATTTTGTGCAATACCAGGAAACCAACCAACTTCAACAAAGTACTTTCCAATTTGTAGGCACTATATAGAATTGAGAACTAGTTGTTGCTAAGTTGTTGAGGTGTCTCATATTTAAAAGCCTTTAGGTCCGCTTAAATAAGACAAGTTGTTCAGATGCCTCAGGTTAGGGGAATGGTGATTGAAAGGAAGAGGACGATGATACGGCATTGACTGGGTAGACGATAACTGGGGAGAAATGGAGACTCTCACTTATGGCTACTTTTACTCTTCTAGATAAATCTTGTTTCAACACATTCTTTAACTTTGAGGATATGCAAGAGATCACCCAGCACTTTCCTGTCTGCCATGTGGATGCCCCAGGCCAGCAAGAAGGTGCCCCTCCTTTCCCAACGGGGTAAGGCGGCAAGACCTTGGGGGAGGTATCCAATCAGAAGTGGAGGTGGGAGCCCCAGTGGCAGAAGAAACACGTGCTTCCCTTCCACTCGATTTTGTCGCAGCCTACAGGTTATGCTCACCGGCCAGCCACATGCCCATTCCCCCTCCTTGGTCTGAGTACTGTTCTAGAGACTTATTGGAAGAAATTGCTTGTTTTCTCATACCCATGAATAGTTTATAGCAGGGACCTTTTTTAATCCCAACGCCCACTTTTCACTGCCTCACCTTCCTCGTCTGTTTTAGTTCTGTCATTTTTGTGTCCTTTCCTATAACTCCTAACGACCTAGGTCCAAGCTCCCTCTGAGGTTTCCTGAAGCACCTCCCCATCCTTAGTCCTCAATCTAGTGATGGGAATCTAAATTTGTGTAACCACTTATCCTGAGCGGCTTTCCTGACAGGTAGAGGTGCAGTCTGACTGGCCTTGGTGCCCTCAGCTTCATCCTGCCCTGCACAGCGGAGTCACAGGCTCCCTCCCTCCCTCCCTACCTGGGAGGGACTGCTGAGAGCACACACTTGGGAACACTAATCCTTCCCTCTTTCTCACTCATCCCCAGAATGGCCTTTGTCCATTGCAGATAAATAATTACTAATACTTAATGTAATAGTTAATCCTTCCCTCTTTCTCACTCATCCCCAGAACGGCCTTTGGCCGTTGCAGATAAATAATTACTAATACTTACGTAATAGTGTTCCAGAAACTGCTTTTAAATACATTACATTTATTAATTCATTTCATTCTGACCCCCCTATGGCTAGGTTTACTACTATTCCCATTTTACAGGTGATGACACTGAGGCTCAGAAAAATTAATGACCTCGACCAAGCCTCTATATCCAATAAGTAGCAGAGCTAAGATTTGAACTCACGCAGTTAGGCTCCAAAATTGGTGTTGACTGTTTCCAAGTTGTTCTACCTCTCGGTGCAAATTGGCCAGTGATCAGTTCCTATCCAAGAAAATTTGGATCTAGTTCTTTTTTTTTTTTTTACTTTGTACAAAAAAGTATTCAGAAGCAGTAAAACTGCAGTTCCTACTACAGTCATTCACATGGTTTTCATTGACTTGCCATCCCTGGAGGGGTTCAGGCAGAAGCACACTGGTTTCCCCGCCTCCTAAATAGGTGGTCATCTTAAGATCTCTCTCATCTCTGATTCTATAATCTCTATGGTTGCTCCTTACTCTTCTAGGATTCCATATCTGAGTCTATTCCTGGGCTTGCCTGACCATTTCAGAATCATATGGTTCATATTGTTAGTCAAATTCAAAAGCAATTAATAAAATAACCATGTGATCCTACTCCTAAGTAAAACACATACCGTTCATACTGAAGAGCTCGGCATCTGTAACTGTGTGCCTGGACCCAGCAAAGTTTTGTTTAGTTTTGTATTTAGCCCCTAACTGTAAGCAGCAGACCAGGAGCCACCTCCTGAGCTGATTCTTATTCCTAGAAGTTTACTGAGTCTAGACCCTAGTGGAAGTAATTAAGAGTTTAGAAATACCCAAAGAGAAAGCCATGTTGCCAGTTCTTTTCATGTGGCCTCATCTGGTCCCAGAGACTGCTCTTTCGGAGAGAGAAACATGTGGGTTCTTCTACTTTCTTCTTGATATGGCAGCTGTAGATGCGGCGGTCATTTCCATGCACCCCTTCACCTCCTTTGAGCCTGTGGTCACGGGGCATGTTTCTATCTGAGACTCCTGTAGGTTTCTAGCTGTTCTCATAGCTAGGAATTGTGGGTGCTTTCTAATTCAGGAGATGCCCTTCTGTATTTCAGGTACCAGTATCCGACGATGGATGAGCTGGCCGAAATGCTGCTTTCTGTTCTTACCCAGTTAGGGTAGGTTCTTTCTGCAGTCTTTCACATGGTTTTTATTGACTTTCTGCTTCATGTCCAGATGGTATCATGGTGCTCAAAACAGAAGTCACCACCCTCATGGAGTGTAGTGGAGGAGATAGTTAACAAGAGAGCAAACAACCACAATGGAGTGCTACAAAAGAAGTGAGTGCAGGTGTAGCAATAGAGAATAGGGCAGGATCTACATAAATAGGCTGGTTAGGGGAAGACTTTTTTATTGACTTTCTGCTTCATGTCCAGATGGTATCATGGTGCTCAAAACAGAAGTTACCACCCTCCATGGAGTGTAGTGGAGGAGATAGTTAACAAGAGAGCAAACAACCACAATGGAGTGCTACAAAAGAAGTGAGTGGAGGTGTAGCGATAGAGAATAGGGCAGGATCTGCATAAATAGGCTGGTTAGGGAAGACTCTCCTTGAAGGTGTCATCAAAACTGAAGCCTGGAAGATAAAAACAAAACAGACAAGCAAACAAAAACCCTTCCTGGACAGAGAGCCAGAGCAAGAGGATTCCATTCAAGAGAATAATATGTCCCAAGGTCCTGGACCAGATGAGCAAGTGAAAGAAAGGCAGGGGGTTGTCACTTGAGACCTAGAGAAGGACCAAATTATACGGGTCTCATTAATCAGAGAAATTTGTGATTTTCTTCTAAGGGTAAAGAAGAGATACTGAAGAATTTTAAGGGTTTTAAATAGACAAGTGATATCCACTTCAGTCTCTTAAAATGATCATTGTAGATGTGTAAATTCAGTGTTAATAAGGCTGTAAAATTTTTAAAAAGGATTCATCTTACAGTAGAGAGAATGGGTTGGAGAGAAGTGAGAGAGACAAAGCAGGGAGACCAGTTAAACTGTTATCGTACTCCAGGCAAGAGGTAACGGTAGCTTGGTACTGGATACTGTTGGAGGGTGGAGGTAGACGGATGTATTCTGATTGGTCAGATATTGAAATGAGAGGACAGTGAGCTGTCAAGGATGACCCTCGGGTTTCGGTCATATTTCATTTCACTATTACAGGTGGTAGGATCCCTGTTTTACAGATAGCGAACTGAAATTCAGGCAGTTAAAAGACAAACAAACCAACACCAACTTGTCCAAATTCTCATGTCTAGTAAATGTCAGAGAAACAGAATTTGAACCCAAAGTATATTCTCTCCATTATGCTTTGCTGCCCCCACATGGAGCTGACTCCGTCTGTTTTTGGTATGTCCCATTTCCAGGATGAAAAGCGTCATTGGATTTGGAGTTGGAGCTGGAGCTTATATCCTCAGCAGATTTGCAGTAAGTATGTGCAAGATTAGTCTCAACACCCTTGAGACACTGTCTGGGTCACAGCTGTTACCACCGTGTTAAATGACCAGGCACCATTCTGGGACTTAGGTCCCTTTTCTTGCAGATTTTGTCAGCTTCAGATGCAGGTTGGTAGAAAGCCTTGCTTTGTACACAGGATCTTCAAAACATTTGTGGAAAATGCATGAAACTATACATGGATTTTAAGGGGTTTTTTTTTGTTTGTTTGTTTGTTTTTGTTGTTATAGGGCACATGAGCTCTCTGGAAAGATAGAGAGAGAGAGAGACAAAAAGTGAGAAATCAGCCCCCAGGGGGGGTGGCCACACCACTATCCCTTCTCCTCTATTCTCCTCTCGGGATTTTAGGCACATATGCATACTTGCCTGGCATGAGATTTTTAAGTCACCACGTCCAGGACTCAAGCCACGGTTTACTACATAGGAATTCAGTGACATAACCATTTTACCATCTACTGGACCCAATAAATTCATACTTTAATCCCACTTTCTTTTCTTAAAAATTATTTTTATTGGGACCAGCAGTTAGCGTAATGGCTATGTCACTGGACTCCCACGTCGTCGACCGCAGTTCACGTCCTGGACCTAGTGGCTTAAAACTCACGCCGGGTGCGTGTGCGTGCGTGCCCAAGATCCCAAGAGGAGTACGGAGGAGAAGGGATTGCGGCGTGACCATCCCCCTCGGGGGTGATTTCTCGCTTTCTATCTCTCTGTCTCTCTCTGTCTGTCTGGCGAGCACACATGCCCTATAGCAAAAACCTCTCAAAAAAAAAAAAAGAATTATTTTTATTATGTTAACTTTATTTATTTATTTATTTAAGCTTGACCCTAGAGGGACAGAGTGAAAGTGAGAGAGAGAGAGAAAAA